ATTTATTTAGGGTGTCTGCTGTTATTCTCTAACAATGCATTTTTTTCTTCACTATCGTTTTTTTATTTTTAAGAAACAATAATGAATTAGCTTTCTTAACAAAGATTAATTGAAAGTGTTTCCATCACTTTTATTTCCATTCTGAAAAGTTTCTTCTTTTTAATCAACTAAAGGTTAATAATATTTTTAATTCGTGCAAAATTTATTTCATCCGAAAACAATTATTTCTGTTAGTAAGAAAAAAAGAAGTAATTAAAGACATCTTTCTGACATGGTTAGTATTATTTTCCTTTTGCTTTTCGATTTTCACCTACTTCGAATGATATAAAACTGAACCATCACTATACTGTAGAGACAAAATCTAGATATGCATGTATTTTTAAGGTAGCTCTTTTCTTCTTGTGTCTCGAGAAAACGGATTTATATTTCAATATGTTGGGCAAATCTATCGCTATTGAAAACTTTACATGATTAATAAGCTTAAAAATGAAAAGACTTAATAGTTTAAACGCAGCAACAACTTCTTGTATGTTTAAGAAAAAAGAGCTGTGGTCCCCCTCAGGGATATTTGAAAAACTGAATCTTGAATTTCGACTTCAAACTTTGCATAGATATATGTCTCAATGAGAATAGTTTATTGTGAAAGTTTCAGCTCTTTTCGCTGTTTCTATCATAAAATACAGTTATCTTAAAATTGCTTCTAAACACCGACAGATACGATTTTCTTATCTTAGACTAGGAGCAACCAAAACATCTGAAACCTTCACAATAAACTATTCTCACTAAGGCCTATCTATATGAAAAGATTCGGGCGGAAACTCAAAACTCACTTTTCCTGATGTTCCTGAGGAGATCCACGGCTTTTTCCAAAACACATAGTAAAAATGTTGTATCTCAGCAGCAAGAGGCTAGTGGCACGAACTCTTTCCAGAGAACTCATAGCTCATTATGGCTTAGTGTATGCACTGGTTCAGTGAATACTAATGTCGGTGTAGACACTGCAGTCAGTGCACTCAGTGTCAGTGTGTCACTGCAGACAGTGCGGTCACTGTCAGTGTTTCACTGTAGACAGTGCGACCACTGTCAGTGTGTCACTGCAGACAGTGCGGTCACTGTCAGTGTGTCATTGCAGACAGTGCTGCTCAGTGTCGGTGTGTCACTGTCAGTAATTCACTGTTTTCACCGAAACTGCACATCCCTACATAGGGATGGATTTGCCGATGGAAATGAGGACACTCAGGGGGACGTCAGGATATGGCTAAGGGTTGTTAGGAATTCTAATAAAAATCTGACTTTTTAACTAGACAATTAGATGGAAGAAATAAGGAATAGTTTATAAGAAAGTGCCGGTTCGGAACTGTCCATCGCGAATTCTCGTGTTATAAATCTAACTATTGTTAGAAGTAAGAGCAGCCTGGAATTTGATAGAGTGTAAATCAAAGATGATGATCTTATGGGAGAATGGGATTACACGTAGCAGCGGCTAGCCGCTGCACTAAAAGAATTCTCTGAAGAAAAGTTTCAGGCTATTGGGATTCATCGGATAAATGGCAACAGTGTAGATCTAATGAGTTTGAATAGGGGCTAGCAGTGACAAAGAACTGAGAAATAATTTGAAATAAAGTGTGAGAATAACTTTTCTGCACATGCACAATATTTGAATAGTACATTTAACAATAAACATCACTCAAAGAACTCATTCCCTCGACTGAAGGGGAGTCATAAAATATGGAAATATATATAAGTGATTACAGGTGATACTATTAGTAACTGTCTCGATAAAGTGGACTAGCGTATAAGTACTTCTAACCCTTCAGTCGACGGTTGAGTGAGTCGTTGCGACGAGCGTTACTTGTTGTATTTGTAACTTTTTAAGAGCTACCTGGACATCATATCTGCACCTTTTTAGGGGCTGCCTGGACGTAATATTTGTGTCTTCTTAGGTATTATCTGGGTATCATATCTGTAGTTTTGTTTGAATTATCTGAATATGCTACTGATGATCTTCTTATAGATTAGCACTCTTTAAATAAATGATTTGTTCATCAAGACCATCAAAAATTCTGATATATCTTCTAGAACATTTTATTACTTCTGTAGTGAAAAATGGCATACCGAATTTATCTGCTTACTTCGATTAATGTTTATGAGAAGGCAACCCACATTTATTAAGGAAAATTTCAAGAGCCTTAACATAATATCTGAAATACTTATAAAAACTATTCCATTCATATTTAATTTATGTCTCAAAAACGTTTGCAGATTTATTGATAACATGTCTCTAAACGAAATATTTTCACATTTTACAAATTATTTTTTGTTTTTAACTAGAAGACATGCCAAGAATATTAGAGAACAACAATGAAATTTCATTTTATACATGCTTTCTAAACTATCAAGGAAAATATTTACATAAATGCCCAGTTGTCTGCAATATGGTGTTTCATACAATGTTAGTTCAATTCTATATTCTTATTTTGTGAGAATTAAATGACAAGAGGATATTGTACTTAAGTAATAGTGGAAGTCGTACATTTTTTAACCAAGTACTATTTCTTTTTTTTCTAATTATAGTCAGTCATTTTGAATGAAATGTATTATCTCGCTGTCATTAGACATATCGTAATCATCAAATCGTTTTATGAATGGAAAAAGTTAGTAGACATAGTCGATTATGTAATTTATAGATTAAAGTGCATCGTATATATGAGGTTGATATCACAAGGAGACGACCATTGCCACGTGTTGACGAAGAAAAACAAAAGATCACTTATTTTTTAGCCGATATTGTTGCACATATCTCTCGATGCTGAGTAGAAAAGAAAGAAAAAACAATACATATACGTCTTTGTTAGCGAGAAGAATGTATAGAAAAAGAAAAGAAAACATTTAGTGCTTTACTATATTCAAATAATTTTCTTGATCTTCCATTCTTTATTTACATTTGTGGTTAGTACCTAGTACATATTTCGATTCTATTTTTCACTCAATACAGCTACTTGTTGAATCTTGATCTGATGTATAACTCGAATATAGATAATTCATCAAATTCGGCTAACATGCCTCCTCGTGTTATGTAGCAGTGATCGATCAAAATCACATATGCGAACATCAAGATCATCGACATCGAATCGATCATTAGATCGTACATTGAGAAATCAATCTCCATGTTCAACGATTATCCGTCGGTCAACAAATCGATCTTCCTCAGGTACGTAAAACATGCTCGACAATTTAAGATTTTGTTTTTTTTGTACTTTTAAATTATCTTTTAACTGTCTATAAAATTTTTATACTTCGCTAGAATTTTTACGGATAATGATGGGAAAAAATAAATAAATGCTTTGTGGAACTCACATATATTTTCGAAGAAAATAGTGAGTGTAAGTTTTAAATCGAAGTTTTGCGGCTCCCCCTAGGCCCCTATTACAGAAATTTAGCAACGGGAAAGAGAACATTACAGACATACCCCTCCCCCATTACAGACAGCCTGCCCATTACAGACACCCCACCATTACAGACAAGTCACCATTACAGATCTCAGCAACTACACACAAAAAACTTAAGTTTTACTTAACAATAGAAAAAGGCTTGAACAGTTTGAAGAATATGAATTTGACTGCTATACAATATTATAATGTTTTCATAATTATTTGAAAAAACTAACATGCACATAACAAAATTCTTAATAGTATAATCGTTGGCTTTTTTAAGAATTTAAACTTGTATGCTAAAAATGAAGGATGAATCGTGATAATAGGTATTAATCTGTCGTACCGATGATATAATCAATACAAGAAACATGATTCGATCTTTTTCTTAGTGTCAGAAGGAAACAATATCATTATTGATAAATTAATTGAGATGTATAAAAGTATTGTAAGAATGGCTAATGCATATTAAGTGCATTATTGTAAGACTTGTATTTATGAAATAGTTGATGATGAAAAAATTTCAAATAAAGAAAACCAAAAAAAAATGATTATGATCGAGTATATATCAGCACTAATAAAAAAATCAGGCGCACTCAAACGAAAAAGATAGTCGCAGTTTTAAATGTACAAATAAATAATAAAATATTGTTTATGTCAGTGATGAGTTATAAGAATCATTTTAATCAACAGAAATCTTTCAGTTTACAGATGACATATTAGAATAACAAGTCTAAAGGATATACGTGAGTTCCACATTTCAGCTCCTTCGGAGCTGCGCTATCACGCTTTTTTGTGTAGATCGAGGTTTTACTAAAAACTGAGAAAAAAGAAACTGAATTGCTTTTGAAATTTGCAATTTTGTGCACAAAGAAAATGACTATTTTTTCATTTTTTTTCTGACAAAGAATGCGGATGGAAATGAAAAAGGAGAGAATGTATTGATCTCCTATAATTTTTTTCAAAAAAATTCTTGTAAAAGCGAACTGAAACTTGCTGGTAATTTCAATATTTTCATTGTGAGTTACTTATTCATATTCATGCTTTAACTAAAATAATCCGTAAAAAATTTCTAGGCAATGCTTGTATTTCTATATATGTTAATTTACTAAGCAAGCAGTTTATTTAAGCAATATGTGTTATAAATTAATAGAATAGTTCTCTTTGGTTAATCCTTCAGTTTTCTAGGACGAAGTCATAATGTAAGAAACATTGTAGCTGATTCAAGTATTCCCTCAACCAATATTTTATCATCATCGATTCATTCTGGAAAGAATGTTCAAGTTAGTTTAAATCGAGATCAAAATGATAATGATATAACAATGGAATTTAATAGTATTGTTATTGATGTTAATTCTTATCAAAATCAAACTTTTTCAGCTACCATCAATTCTGTTCAAACAAATCATCCATTTGAACTTGACAAAGCACTTCCACCGAAAATGACAACAACTTTGTCAGGTAAAAAAACAGCTGAAGAAGTGTGAAAATTCTTTGAAATGCAACATGATGGCACATATAAATGTTTGTTATGTTTAGATAAACACAAGGTAATTTTATTTTCGTCCAGAGTTAGTTTTGACTTAAAAGACTCCTTATATGTTTATGTAATATATATAAATTTTTATGAGGATATTACTTGTCGAATAATAATGTTTCTCTGAGAAAAACAATGTTTAAAAATTTTGAAATGACGCGCATAAATTACATGATAATAATAATGTTAAGAAATTTTAATGTTACGATTATTGTTTTTCATGAAGCAGATTGAAATATATCTAGATATCAAAAATTGATTGCTTTCTGTTGATACATTTTAGATAATACAGCAAATTTAAGATCACATCTTCTTTTTCATGGTATGAAGGCCTACGCATTCAAATCACAGGAAGATCAAGGAAATCCACAGAAGTACAATATTCCTGTTACTTCATTAAGTCAACAACGAAAACGCGAAATTGATGAAGCTTTATTACAATGTATTATTGGAGCCGGCCTTCCTTATAGTATGTTCAATCATAGTTCTGTGATTCATTTTCTTAAAGTTCTAATACCTGAATATACACCACCTGATAGACATACACTTTCTTCTCGTATCATTAATGAATATCATCAATATATTAGTGATCTTAAAAGTGTGTTGCCTCACGTTAGACCAATAGCATTCGCAAGTGATATATGGAAAGATGTTTCTGCTCATCACATGATCCAGCTTTCTCTTCATACATTTACAATGAATTTCGAGTTCGTCTCTTTACCAATATCTTTTCATTTATTTCACGAACAGAAATTATCATCTAATATACAAGCATTTTTCGAACACGAACGTGATCGATTTAGTCTAAATACAACAATATTGGCAGGTATAACGATCGACAATGGTCCTGATATAAAATCAGCTGCATCTTACAACATACTAGGTCCTCAATTTGCATGTCTGGCGCATTGTTTAAATTTAACGATACATCATGGGTTAAGTTTATGGGAAAAACCGAATTCTAAGAAGTAAGTTCTATCTTTTTCTTAGAAAGGAATCGTATCACTAGAGAAATCGTTGAATCGGACTCTTGTCCAAAATAAACAATATATTGTAACTTTCTCTACCTACAGACTAGAAAAATAGTCTTAAAAAGATTTAGGAAATCATCCGAATATTCACAAAAGTTCGATTAGAAAAGTATATACTACTAACAACTTATTTTTAATATTGTTAAATTCTTATAGGTATCCGTTCGATTCAGCTCAATATGAAATAATTGATTCTTTGATAAATAATGAAGACGATGAATTAACGTCTGATTTTCCACCAAATACTTCATCAATTTCATTAGGTGGTAAAAAAAGGCATCTGATGATGATAATCAAGATTCAACCCAACTCAATCACACTTTTTCAACATATTCTGATAATCTTTTGCCTTCATTATTTTTTCAGACGAAGGATTATTTCAATATTGAAGTTTTGGAGGATAATAGTCACACAGAAAAGCCTCGAGATAATGAAGAAATTTATAAATTTCTTCTACGTGTTCATCATCTTATTAGTAAAGTACGTGTTTAGGTGTCGATGACCCGTCAAGTTGCTGCTCTTCAACGTCATATTTATAACAAACTTGGTCTCCATAAAGGTGGATCTATTTTGGACGTTAGGGTAAGCTTTAATTTGCAACGACATAATAAATGTTTGTAATGAAAACTTTTGTCTCTTTTCTGCGACACAGGTACATTTTTAATATGTCATAGCTAACTTTACATTGCATACAAAAATTCACTACGAAGTTTATGTTCTTCTAATAACAATAGTATTTAAAGACAAAAAACTAAGTTATTTACAAAAAACTATGCTTGTACCAGAAATCTACAGTTTTCATCACTTTGAATCGACAACAGTTATTTCTTCAACAGAACGAATCATTCCAGCAAGAATGTGATTAAAACTTTGATAGAGGGTAAAGTTTACACAATAGAATATGTTAGTCCAATAAGTCAAGCAACAAAGTAATTAACAAGGTCATTTTGTTTCAAGGTAAGAATCAGATGAGATTAACAGGGTGTGGGTGTGCGGGTCTGAAGTGTGGGTGTGGGTGTGTGAAGGTATGGGTGTCCGTGTGCGTGTGGGTGTGGGTCTCCGTCTGGCTGTGGGTGTTGGTGTGGTTGTGGTTGTGGACGTCGTTGTGGGTATGGGTGTGAGTACAGGTCTGACATCCACACTCACCCACATCCACACCCACACCCACACTTACACCCACACCCACACCCATACCCATACCCACATCCACATTCACACCCGCAAATATATATCAATCTGCTTTTTCTTCAATTAAAATTTAAATAAAATGCCATTTCCAGAATAAGAGCATTTTCACCAACCTCCAAACACGAAAACATTGCAGAGCTTTTCACGAACTTGAAGTTACAACGTTAACGTTTTCCCACTGCTCCACCTCAAGTGCTGCAATATTCTCTGTTTCAACGCAGAACTTTTACAAAACAATTGAAATAAAACCAAAACAGTTATCTATGCTTATTGACAGGCTGCATTCTCTGAACATCAAAGTTCTCACCACCAACGAAGAACCGAGCGCAAGCAGATGCATAAAACGATAAAAAAAAATTGGCATCCTACCCAAACAGATGATTCACATACGCATAGACGAGCAGTATACGAAAAAACTCAAACCACACATCATCTAGTTATTGAATAACCCTTCTTCTCGATGCGCTATTTCAGAAGCGAGAAGGAAATTAATTTGTCCTCTCTTTCTCGATCATGAAATCAACTCCCAATCTTTCCTCTCAACTGAGCAACATATTCGAAAGAATATTAGGAAGAATTAATCATTTCTCACGTATTCATAGTTGATGTAGTCAACTTCAAATCTTTCCCTTGAATTCAGCAAAATATTTCAAAGAAACTTTGAAAGCATTATTCATCTGTTGTATGTTGATAGTTGATGTAATAACCTCCAAATCTTTGCTTTGAATTCAGCAAAAAATATTTGAAAGAATCTTTGAAAGGATTATTCATCTGTTGTATGTTGATAGTTGATGTAATCACCTCCAAATCTTTGTTTTGAATTCAGCAAAATATTTGAAAGAATCTTTGAAAGGATTATTCATCTGTTGTATATTGATAGTTGATGTAATCAACTCCAAATCTTTGCCTAGAATTGAGCAAAATACTAGAAAAAATCTTTTGAACAAGTATTCATTTGTTGAGCGTTGATCCTTCATGTAATCAACCCCAAAGCCATTGCTTTGAATTCAGCAAAATATTTGAAACAATCTTTAGTAACAATTATTCATTTGTTTTCCGATGATATTCGATCTAATAGACTCCAAGCCTTTGCTTTGAATTCAGCAAAATATTTCAAAGAATCTTTCTTGAGACTTATTCATTTGCTGTGTGTTGATACTTGATGTAATCAACTCCAAATGCTTCCTTTCAATTCAGCAAAATCTTTGAAATAATCCTTCGAAGAATTATTCATTTGTTGTGTGTCCATAGTTGATGCAATCAAATTCAAATCCTTCCTTTGAGTTGAGCAAAACATTTCAAAGAATCTTTAAAAGAATTATTTATTTCTTCTGCGCTGATACTTGAGGTAATCAACTCTAAATCTTCGCTTTGAATTAAGCAAAATATTTGAAAGAATCTTGCCTGAAAATTATTCATTTGTTGCGTATTCATACATGATATAATCAACTGCAAATCTTTGCTTTTAATTCAGCAAACTATTTGAAAAAATCTTTTGGAGAAATATTCACTTATTGTGTGTTGATAGTTGATGCAAACAACTTCAAATGTTTGCTATGAATTGAGCGAAAAATTTCATAGAATCCTTGCAAAAACTATCCATTTGCTGTATGTTGATAGTTAATGTAAACAACTCCAAATGTTTCCTTTGAATTGAGCAAAACATTTGAAAGAATCTTTAAAACAATTATTCATTTGTTGCAGGTAGACAGTTGATGTATTCAACTCCAAATCTTTCCTTAGAATTCAGCAAAATATTTGAAAGAATCTTTAAAACAATTGTTCATTTGTTGCAGGTAGATAGTTGATGTAATCAACTCCAAATCTTTCCTTAGAATTCAGCAAAATATGTAAAAGAATCTTTAACAGAATTATTCATTTATTGTATGTTAATAATTCACGTCATAAAGTCCAAAACATTGCTCTCAATTGAGCAAAATATGTGAGACAACCAATGAAAGCATTATTCATTTGTTGTCTGTCGATAGTTCATGTAATCAACTCCAAATCTTACCTTTGAACTCAGCAAAATATTTGAAAAAATGTTGTGGAGAATTATTCATTTGATGCGTGCTGATAGTTGACATCATCAACTCCAAATCCTTCCTCTGAATTCAGCAAAAAATTTGAAAGAATCTTTAATGAGAATTATTCATTTGGGGTGTGTTGATATTTCATGTAATCAACTCCGAATCTTACCTTTGAATTAAGCAAAATATTTGACAAAATCTATTGGAGAATTATTTATTTGATGCGTGTTGGTAGTTGATGTAATCAACTCCAAATCCATCCTATGAATCGAGCAAAATATTTGAAGGAATTCTTTCTCAGAATTATTCATTTGTTTTGTGTTGATATTTGATGTAATCAACTACAAATCTTTGCTTTTAAGTCAGAAGAATATTTCAAAGAATCTTTTGCAGTATTATTGACTTGTTGTATGTTGATATTTCACCGAACCAGCTCCAAATTTTTTCTTGCAAGTGAGCAAAATATTCGAAAAACTCTTTTCAAAAAATAATCATTTGTTCTGCCTTTATAGTTTCCGCAATCAACACCAAATCTTTCCTTTCAATTGAGCAAAATATTTGAAAGAATCCTTACTGAGAATTATTCATTCTTTCTGTGTTGATACTTTATGTAATCAACTCCTAGTTTTTTTTCGCATTGACCAAAATATTTGAAAAACTCGTTTCAAAAAATAATCATTTGTTCTGCCTTTATAGTTTACGTAATCAACACCAAATCTTTCCTTTCAATTGAGCAAAATATTTGAAAGAATCCTTACTGAGAATTATTCATTCTTTCCGTGTTGATATTTTATGTAATCAACTCCTAGTTTTTGTTTCGCATTGAGCAAACTATTTGAAAGAATGTTTGAAAGAATTATTCATTTCTTCTGTGTTGATATTTTATGTAATCAAATCCGAGTTTTTGTTTCGCATTGAGCAAAATATTTGAAAGAATGTTTGGAAGAATTATCCATTTGTCTTGCTTTGATACTTGATGTAATCAACTGCAAAACTATGCTTTGAATTGAGCAACATATTTCTAACAATCTTTGCAAGAATTATTCATTTTTCGTGTGTGGATAGTTTATATGATCAACTCCAAATGCTTGATTTGAATTGAGCGACGCGTTTGAAAAAATCTTTCACAAAACTATTCATTTGTTCTGTGCTGATCGTCCTTCTAATCGACTCCAAAACTTTGCTTTGAAACGGGCAAAATATTTGAAGAACGCCTGTGGACATATATTCATTCGTTGTGTGCTGATAGTTGATCCGATCAACTGGAAATCTTCGCTTTTAATTGAGCAGCATATTCGAAAGAAACTTTCGAAGAATTATTCATTTGTTGTCAGTTGATAGTTGATGTGATCAACTCCAAATCTTTCCTTTCAACTGAGCAACACACTTGAAAAAATCTTCAAAAGAATTATTCATTTCGTATGTGTCGAAAGCTGATGGAATCAACTCCAAATCTTTGCGTACAATTAGGCAAAATATTTGAAAGAATGTTGGTTGAGCATTCTTCATTTGTTGTGTGTTGATACTGGATGTAATGAACTCCAAATCTGTCGTTTGAATTCAGCAAAATATTTGAAGCGATCTTTTATAAGAATTATTCCTTTCTTCTATGTTGATAGTTAATGCAATCAATTCCAAATCTTTCGCTTCAGCCCAGCATAATATTTCAGAGAATCTTTACAAGAATTATTCATCTGTTGTGTGTTGATAGTTGCTGTAATCA